TTCTGCCTTTCCTCTTACCAACCAGCCTGTCCCTCCTCGGTCTCAGTGGAGATCAGTGCTGATGGGGTCAACATGTTGCCGCTGTCCACGCCAGTCATCACAAGTGGCTTGACGTACATTAAGATCCAGCTGGTGAAAGCAGAGGTGGCTTCGGCTGTTTGTCTGAGGCTACATCGGCCTCGTGATGCCAGCAACCTGGGTCTCTCTCAGATCAAACTCTTGGGTCTGACAGCATTTGGTAACACCTCCTCTGCAACAGTCAATAACCCCTTTCTGCCTTCTGAGGACCAGGTCTCCAAAACCAGGTAATCATGATGCATCCTGTATGCAGTGTATGTCTGTATTTGGCTGTTGGTGTGAACTTCTCCATCTCCCTGTACAGCATTGGTTGGCTGCGTCTTCTCCACCACTGCCTGACCCACGTCAGCGACTTAGAAGCCATGATGGCCAGTGCTGCAGCACCCACTGCCAACCTGCTGCAGACCTGCGCCGCACTGCTCATGTCACCTTACTGTGGCATGCACTCACCCAACATTGAGGCTGTGCTGGTCAAGATCGGCTTGCAGTCCACGCGCATTGGACTCAAACTCATCGACATTCTGCTGAGAAACTGTGCTGCGTCTGGCACCGACCCTGCCAGTGAGTCACTCACAGCTGAGTCACTGCTGAGACGTGACTATATGTCCTTAAAAAACATTAAAAATAGCCACATTTATTACTAAGAGATTATTAAATGACTGTGGCGGTTTGAAAGATTAACAAGGTCAAGTTTCACATGTTGTTTTGCATTACCATTTACAAAATGTTTTTTCTAACATTAATGAATCTGGTGCTGTGTTTTTGCACTGTGTGATTGCAATACATAGCTGCAAATGTGATCTTATCTTATTATCTTATTTGTCTGGTGTTTTGTCTTGAATTCTTTTTGTAAATATTTATCTGATATTGCATTATCTAAATACATTTGGTTTAACTACATTTTTGGGGGCAAAAATACAAAATAAATTATATTTGTTAGTGGTCTGATTATTAATTACAGACCACTTGTGATTCTTAGCCTTAGTAAAGTGCTGAAATTGTTGTGTAAAGCAATGGATTTAACAAGACATTACACAATACACAGTGCAATGTTAAACTGATATGTGTATCAGATCTAACCACTTCCCAGTGAACCTGTTAATATTTGGACTGTGGAAGAATTTTCTGACACATGTGCATCACGTTCTGGGCAGGCAGCATGACTTTGTCAACATTTTTATTTTTAAAAATGTTTCAATAATTTAAATTCATTAAAAAAAAATTACTGTTTCTTTAAAGATTTGAACAGTCCTCTGCTGTTTGGACGACTAAACGGCCTTTCCTCAGATTCCACCATAGACATTCTATACCAGCTGGGCACCACACAGGACGCAGGGACCAAAGACAGGTACTCCTCCGTCTTTGCCACGACTCAACACTCCCCCTTTACGTTCTCTCAAAGTCATCAACTGATGAGAAACAGTCTCCCGTCAAGGTGATATTCCGGACAGACTCATAAGCTGATAGTAAAAAGTGTCCTTTCACTCTCCTTTTCATTTTTTTTTGTCTTTTTACTGTCATCTCATTGTTTGTTGCATATAAATTCTGCCCCAAGGTGGTTCTCACTAAGAAATTGAGGACCTTTTTTATTTAAAACAAACAAACAAACAAACAAAAATGTTACCGTGCCCAGCACTTGAGCCATTTGACTTATTTGTCAAATCTCTGAATTCTAAACCTCCAGGATCCAGGCTCTTCTGCAGTGGGTCCATGACTCTTCCCATGTGGCAGCCCATAAGATGAGTGGTCCAATGGGATACATTGGGCATGCTGCTGGCTCTTCCTCTGCTTCATCAAGGGAGTATGGTCTCCTTATGCCATCGCCCTCCCACCTCCACTGTGTGGCAGCCATCCTCTGGCACAGCTATGAGTTGCCTGTCGACTATGACCTGCCTACCCTGCTCAACAGAGAGCTCTTTGAGTCAGTCCAGTGTCTTGTAGTTATTACACATGCATGTAGTTGGGTTCATTAGTGGGTTTAAACAATATTCTTCTTAGCAGATTTATTACTGATTCCATTCTTTTCTTTGCTGTTCCCTTCAGGTTGCTGTATAACTGGTCCATGTCGCTGCCATGCAACATTGTGCTGAAGAAGGCCGTGGACAGCTTGTTGTGTTCCATGTGTCACATCCATCCCAGCTACTTCTCCTTGCTAATGTCCTGGATGGGGATTGTCTCGCCACCCATCGCCACTCACTCTCAGGCTCAGCAACGACGTCTTGCCATGACTGATGATGGCAAAAAGCAGCATGATGCTAACACCACTGCGGCGGGACTTACCGACGACTCCAAGCATGCCAGGCCACACATTAATCTGTCAGAATCCCAGCTAACCACACTAGCGGCTGCCTCCCAGTCACCAGGAGCAATAGAGCAGCTGCTGGATTCAGGCTTGCCCTCGCTGTTGGTTCGCAGCTTGGCTCAGTTCTGTTTCAGCCTCCTGGCCAGTGCAGACCTGCCTTTGCCCGCTGGTCAGGCCGAGAGACGACACCATCATCACCACTTTCACTCGTCCTCACACAATCGCCCGCCTCTCTCGGCAGAGCTGGCTGCTCCAGTGCTCCGGTTTCTCACAGAAGTAGGCAACAGTCACACCATGAAGGACTGGCTGGGAGGGCCAGAGGTCAACCCACTGTGGACAGCACTGCTGTTCCTACTGTGCCACTCCAGTGCCAGTGCTGGGGCCAATGCTGGCTGTCAGCCTGGATTTGCTGCAGGTTCTCCTCCATCCCAACCTCAGCCTTTAGGCTCACGCTTCTCCTTGGCCTCCTCAGGGCAGACAGGAGGGCTCACCACCCAGCAGAGGACAGCACTGGAGAATGCCACTGTGGCCTTCTTTCTCCAGTGTATCTCCTGCCACCCTAACAACCAGCGCCTTATGGCACAGGTCCTCTTACTAGTTATTATGGATGAAATAATAATAAAAATAAAAATGTTTTTCTTTTGACTTGTTAGATGTAGATTTGCACACATAATTGGACAAACTTGTTATTTAATGATTGCTAGTTGGTAAGCTAATTTATTTATAAATTGGAATTCAAATGTAGATATTTATTGGTTTCTGTCTTGGTTTTTAAGACTTCTGTCTTTGGCTGCAGGTTCTCTGTGAACTCTTCCAATCAGCACCTCAGCGAGGCAACGTACCCGTCTCTGGAAACATCTCAGGCTTCATTCGAAGACTGTTTCTGCAGCTCATGCTGGAGGATGAGAAGGTCACAGTCTTCCTACAGTCTCCCTGTCCGGTGGGTAACTCAATTATGTGGTCAACAGCGTTGCTCAGAGGTTTTACACAAACTATTGTGCTTTTTCTTAAATAAATGTTATTTCATTAGAGACAGCAAATGCCTGATGAAGTACTTGCTGTGAGCTTAAGGTGGCAGTGCAGCAGTATGAAGCATATGTTTGTTTGTTTTCTGTATCACAACGGTCCCTTCACACTGATTCATGCCTGGTATTATGTGTTCTCAGTTACACCCTAATGGTTTATACTTTCTACTGCTCAGTTGCTGGCTGTTACAGAAGCTTTGGAGACATGAGTATTTGTGCCAGAGTGCCTGGAAGCATTGTATGGAGAAATTGGTTAATTACCCAAAGCAAGTCATTTTTCATTCATCTAGCTGAAATATCTCAATAATTGAGTAATTTTACTCCAAACATTTATGGATTCCATGTACTAAAGGTGATGTGATTTAAAAAAGGCATAAAGTTCGGGGCAACTTTGTTTAGGGCCAAATTGCGACACCTACTTAACAAAAGATGGTCAGACTAGGGCAGCTGTTTCAGTGATTCGCATGAGGCATACAGCCTGCGCCATGAAGTGAAGTCCAAAAAACTACAAAATTAAGAAAACCTTGGGGGTGGCCATGATAGAAAGATGTCAGAACACACAGTGCTTTTGTAGTTTACAGAGCAATGGACTATTTGGCTGTAGACCAGAAAACAGCTAAATAGTCCCATATTGACAGCAAGTACAATATACTCTTTATGTTTAGTTTCTGCAGCTAACCTGATTGTGGTGTTTTCTTTTTTCCTTTCCTCCTTCTCAGTTATACAAAGGACGGATCAATGCAACCAGCCACATGATCCAGCATCCCATGTATGGAGCAGGCCACAAGTACCGCACCCTTCATCTACCAATTTCCACCACATTGGCTGAAGTCTTGGACCGTGTTTCTGGTATGTTTCAAGACAGAAAATTTCTCATTACAACAACAACCACATAAAGACTTCACTGGCCATAGTATGTACCATTACATGTAGATGTTCCTGCCTTCAGGTTACACTTGCATTGTAACTGATGGAAAATGTCTTCTCTGCTCTTGACTTGAATGAGATTGCATGCTCTTTGTTTGGGAACCACAACACTGTATAGTATTCACTGACCTTTTTTGACCTCCTTTTCTTCTTAAAAGAGGGTAAAAAAATAAAAATGTTCCACTTGTTTAAATTTTGACAAATCTTGGGGATTCAAATTGTTGAACATATGTTTAACATCATTTTCTTGCTGGAACAATTTTAAGGCTTCATTTTACACACAGAGGTCATCACATTTGTCTTAATTCTTTGTTTGTTTAGTAATGTCCCATTCATCTGTTTTCCTCAGCTTATCTGATTCTGTTCTTTATGAGAGCAGGCTAAGCAAGGCATTCTGTGTCCTTTCCCCTCGCACCTTTTTTTTCCATCCTGGGTGGCTCATCAAGCTTAAACGTCCTGCTGTTGTTTAGCACGACATCCGCTGGTTTCCTGTTTCTGGCACAAAGTGGGCGATAAACAGCCAAGACAGAAATGCCGATCAGCTGATCATTGATCAGTTTGATGATTGTTGTTGTTTGATGGGAGAAGGAGAGGCAGCTGTGCAGCGTAATGACAGAATAATTCCAGCTTTGTGTCTTTTTCCATTGTAGCTGAAGTACGGGACAAACTGCGTTCCTTCTCAGCTCAATACGAAAC